AGCAAGTAAGTAGCTGAGTGTGATTACTATAAAATCAACAGAATTATTAGTAAAACAATCTGGCAAGTCTTAATTTTTCATAGTATCATAATTATCGATAAAGATTATACTTTTTACGACTTCAATTAGGTTCCAGGAGCTTGTGTTGGTAAAACAAGTTCAATGAAAAAGAAACATTTCAACTTCTCCATTACTTACGATCAAGATTTAAATTTAAAAACAGATTTTTATTACAGGATGTTGTTTTTCATATCCAAAGTTTATATATCAATTAAAAGATTAATAAGAACTTTGAAAGAAAATTAGTAATAAGATTCTATGACTAACTTTATTGTCTTATCCTCTATCATAAACATTGCATTGTGATTCTAAAAAGTCTTTGTCTAGTCTGCACCACTTTATTTTCACCTTCAAAAATATACGTTACTAAATAAAAATTGCTTTTCACATTTTGTCTTCTAGTAGTGACCTACAATCGTTTGCCGAGTAATATTTATAAAAAAGTTATTTGCAAATAAATATTTTTACAATCAATAAATAATGCACTTTGCAATACAGTGTATATATTTGTCGCTAAATGATTCCATTATCGTTGATATAAATTATAATGAAACATAATTAGTTAGCAGAAGTTTCTGATTAATATGTACACGTTTATTCACTTTCGTCTAATTCGCCATTAATAAATCTAGGTGTAGGTAATATTTTTCATTATATTACAAGTTTTTGTTGCTTCGAAATAGTCGTATTGAACGCGGGGCTATAAATAAAACTTTCGCGATGCAAGCGCGTTAAATCGAATCCGACGATGGTTGGAACTCGTCCGTATGCACCTGCGACAATTTTTATAGTATAAATTTGCATTAATTCATTTAGTCCTGTTTTCATAGCAAACTTCAAACCGTCTAAATGGGTTAGGCGGTAAGTGGTATCTAACCGGTGCTAGTCAAGGAATTTGAATGTCGCGTTTAATTGACGGCTTGTGAGCCTTTAACTAAGACTTTTCTTTGACGCAATTAGTCTTTTAAAATGTTTATGAAAATTGTTCTGACGTGAAAATGTAGTTAACTTATTTGATACGACTAATAGAAATTGTGAAACATGCTATTATCTGGTATAAAAAAAAAGTCAAAAATATCGACATTCCAAGTGTGCGGGCATATTAATATGTCTCTCAGTTATTTGCATTTTTATATATTTATTATAAGACTTTGTTAAAGAAACGCAATAAAGTCGCGATAAACGTAAAAAAGTAATTACTTTTTATGTTCGAGTTCAGATATGCAGAACATTTTAGTCTAGGTTATATGAAGATATAACTTTTATACATATTAAGTGATAGTTGAGACATGTTAGGCGAATCGCTCGTCAGATATGCACTTTGTCAACGGGTTTGTGGAACATCTTGCGACCGCTGAGCCGCTGACTCGCTGTGCCGGTGACACACAGCTATGAACATCTTTACAACGTGTTTACTGTTGCTACGGTACATAAGGAAAGAAGTACCAATCGTTGTCTACATTGTATTAACATCTAATAATAATGGAAATGTATAACGTTTTATTTTTTCTTTTCAAAAACATTTTTATAAGATAATTTAATATTGATTCATATTGAAACCTTTTTTGTTATTGTTACATTAACTATAAGTACGCGTTTGCCTAAATGTAATCAAATCATAGGTCAAGTTTGTGATAGCTCCAAATTTTAAATTGTTGGAGGAAGATGCTATAAAGAGATCCTGGATTATGCCTGATGATTATCAAATAGCTACCCAGTACTAAAGGCCAGTTTTGGTAGGTCCACCAAAGGATAGCTTTGCTTAGTTGTAGTGCTTAAGTTCTAGCTAAATAGGGCTAGGACTAAAACGACAAATTCTTTAATGTTCCCAGTTATAGAACATTAAACATTGTAAAACTTCAATAAGCACAAAGTTAATTTTCTTTACAAGTGGAAACATAGTTAAAGTATTTATTTCCGTCATCGAATTAGACTGATTTATATTACATACACGTGTTGTGCGACAAGCAAATGCACTTAAAGACGCAGGCATCGAGCGTTACGGAATAGGATAGGGGCTAACCGACACAACGTTTTTATTGAACCTATTGTTTAGAAAACTTTCCCACAAACTAAATACATAGGTAAATAATTGTATTTAGATTGGTGTTCCTATATACTTTAATAACAATAACGAAGATTTGATTTTTCTACTAAATTTTAATAATTATTCCCTTTTGTACCAAATCTGTGTTTTATTTCGATGACTTTTTGCCATAAATGTTTATAAACATCATAAAAATAGCATTCAAAAAACTAAAAGAAAAAGATGCCCATACAAAAGACTTCAACGCGTTTAAGACTTATTAAACATACTTTTTGTGTAACTACTTTCCCCAATACTAAATATGTGTAATGTAAAACTGCGACAGTTTTTATATAACGCCTTATGATAGTGTAAAAAATCGATGTTTTTTTTGTTATTCTAAAATGCTGTAAGCTAATTCACTGTTTATACAGCAGGTATATTGCTACTGGAAGAGACAATACTCAGAATTTAAATATTATTCGTCGTTAAAAATACATCATGAAATAAATTAATAGTATATAATTGAACCTCTTTATCACCATATAACAGATTTATGTTAATTAGTCGTCTAGATTGAATTTTTATTACAAAATGTATATGAAATTTACTAGATTAAGTCCACGTACCAATCATGTTATCATCAGTTAAAGGTAACAACAACAAAGAGGCGTATCTAGTAATGTATGGTAAAAGCGATGCAAGTTTGGAAGATATTACAACGCTTGAGCTGGCAGCAATGGTTTCACGCCATATGGGGCCCACATGCCCAAAGCCCTCGCTAGCGCCCGTGCCTCGTGTCTCGTGCGCACCAAATTACAGGTTGCATCAATTGGACTCATTGAATTAAAACGGAGGGCTACCAATTGGAAATGTCTCGTGCCATACATATTAGAGATAATCTATGTGTAACGCTCTTTATTGTTAAAATTATGTGTAGGATAATCGCAGGTTCTCTATCCAAGTTAGTTTTTCTGAATAAAACTAAATATTAAAAGGTATTTTAATTCAGACTCGATGAAAAGTCTTTGTACTACTGACATTGGTCCTGCAGATCAAAATGCGGTAATAATAAATCTAGGTTACTCAATGTTGACAAAGCTAAACTACAATTAATATAGAATTTTTTATTAATAAGTTCCACAGATTTAAAATATATGTCTATCATGTTATCCCATGTTATCTAGTCATGCATATGACAGATTACAGTTGCTTTCAGAATTTTTCCTTTTAGTTACTATGACATGGGAAATAGCCATTTTCATTATATATTAATATTAAAACTGAATAATATTCATATTATGAAAAAAGACGACATAATCGGTTCCGGATGGGGTGATAAATTTGATACTATTTGGGTAATCAATTATAAATGATTCGAGTTATGCAATATCATCTATGTCAAATTTTATTATCTTGCACATACAAGATTAACGAGAGCACATTCATCCAATGATTAACGAGGGATGAGCGGTACGCTAATCAGTGGGTCGAATTTTTGAGTAACGAGCTCGCCCCGTGGTGACGTTTTAATTGTTGCACATTGTTTTTGATTGAGGCAATATGTGGGAGGCGCGGCAAGCCGTTATCTGATGAAATATGTCCGTTATGATTGGCAAACAAACAGTATGGCGCCGCCATATGTCGCGGCACGTGCGCCCGCGCATCGCTCGACGCGCCGCCGTCCGCAACGAGCACTCAGGGATGAAACCATATACCATAGCAATGTATACAACTGAATTATGGAATATTTTATTCATCTTTAAAATTAAATATCTTAACATAAATTAAATTTTCATTTATCGAAATTTTTGAAAGAAATGAATTTTGTGGTTCTCAGATAAAACTTTCATACATATTTGTTTAAAAGTCATTAAACTTTTATATAATTGTTAGTAATTTTAATAGATCAAAACAGCAAATTAAATATTTTAAAAGTGGCAACGATCCAAAGTTATTGACACTAATCGTTTTATGTTTGTGTCGGATCTACGAGATAGTTAGGTCTATGGCCAAGGAAGCCAGCGCGGACGCGGTATCCATCCGTCAGCATAATCGCTTGTTAATCATTTTTCGGTTGATGGGGTTCATTGTGCTGACGTCCACGGATTATTCATGGGTAAAATTTAGCACGCATTTCATAAATAAATATATTCGCCTATAGTTAATGCTTGATATATTGTGCGTGGGTCATTAGCCGATATCATTTTTACTGCAATATGATATCAAAAGATACTACGGTACATATAATATTTCGCATATTTAAATAAGAATTCACTTTCAACAGTGGAATCCGTTATATAAATAGAATCGATGGTAAGGACGAGAAAATTACCTAAACAAAAAAATAATCTAAGGTGTTTTTACTTGTTAGAAGTCAGCTGTTCGGTGACAAAATCGTAAATCTGTTGCGATGGATAAGGCTTCACATATTAAATCGTTCACCGCATGTTAAGTGTAAAAGTTTCTCAATCCGATGCTAACTGGTGGGAATCAAGTAAATAAAATAACAATAAATCGTACATAGTATCAGCGGCAGTGAGGCGGCAAACAGCCCGTATCTCTCGACCGCGGTGGCGACGTCCCTACCATTGACATTGAACTCAGCTTCAATTCTGGGATGTTCAGGCTAAATGGTATATACGATTTATAGACAAATGGGATAGCTAAATTATTGTTATCGCAGTGTAGCTGATATACTATTTTCTATTCCTTTCTAGCTGGTCGTGATTACGCAAGGAAATCGGTGGATCCGTGTATGCAACTATAGGGTAGTTACATAGTTACCCTTAAAAGAAAATTGCTAATACGCGATTCTACTATTTTAAACGCATAGTAACAGATATCTTTTCTTTTGAACGGAAAAATGATATTTTAAAGAATAATAAGTTCCATTATGTTGTAATTTCCTCACATGTGGTCGATGCGGTAACTTGCCATCGACGTCGTCGCCGCAACCCGCATGCCGCGCGCTGATTTGCATGCGCCGCCGCCGCTTCACAGCATGGATGACGCGCGCGATAAGTTATTCATGCGCCCGTTCTCAACTTCCTTAAATAAAACAATCAATATTAAACGAGATTCATGGCGATAAAAGAAAACATTAAAGTAAAAAACGTATTTTTGATCAGACACTAACACCAAAGTTACTTGTGTTAAATCTAATCTTATCCATTGCATTAGATGCGCATATTATCAATAAAGTAAATTGTCTTTTTGTGCGCTTTAAAAGACGATTGTTATATATTGAAACTGTAAAACTTTGTTAGTAAAAAAGATAGCAATCTTTTAATTTGTTGTGAGGGATTAAAAACTAAAATAAAAGTGGGTATCCGAAAAATGCATTATAAAACTACATATTTCCCACAGGAAATTAATTTGTCAGATACAAGGATTGCCAATAAAATATAGATAAACTGTAAACAAGCTTTCATTCTCACCATTAAATATGTCCGTCGGTATAATTCATTATCCCCATCTGTATTTTCAATTAAGATAGGGACTAATCAATAATTGCATCACTTTTATCGAAAATGTTTCGCGAAGAAGGAAACCATCTATCTAATTGCTAAATTCACGAAGTAAATTTTATGTATAGTGCGACAAAGACAATAAAACAAATGAATTTGTGAGTGTAGGTAGATAATTATTAGTGTGAGGATGGTATTAATTGCGCGTGCGCACCTGGGCGGCGCAGGTGACGATACAATTTGGGGTCAGCGGTGGTTTTGACATCGAAACGATGTGCAATAGGATTGTGGGAACTGACCCGTCGCCCGACTTAATTAATATTACCGCTCCTATTTATTTCGGCATTCAATTAATGGGTTATGTAAAAACGAATAGTGTATTTTCTTTACATACGAAAATACTTTTCGGAATTATCTGAAATTAAAAATCGAATAATAATCTGATTCTGTAAAATAAACCTACTGCTACTGTTTCTAACGGTCCAAAATACGACGCTCTGAATTTTATACACTGCGATTAATTTCATTTCTCATTAGAGATAATAATAGCAAAGAATGTGAATGTTTTATTTTTAAATAAATATGTACTATCTTAGTAACAAATTCTATCAATACATGCACAGAGTATTAACGTCATCCAGCACCTGTGCATACCGGTTGGAATTATAAAGATTTTTTGTCATAGCATTGTTACACTTAGTGTGTCATAAAACATGTTCGTTCTGGTACTGGTATCTTGGTATCTGGTGTACTTGGTGCATTCCTATTGGTACGCGGGTAGCAGCACTATTAACACTAAAGGTGGAACATAAATGTCATCACGGAACCTCTGTGTACCAGTTTACTGTTATAGACAGGTGTAACATCTTCAATACGATTTTTATAATGAAATTACATTTATTCGACTAATTGTTCGCAGCTGAAATCTATATGGTTAAACTTACTATTTACCTTTTATTACTTCACATTTTTAAAAGCAATAATTGTAAATAGCAATATTTTATCATATGTCAAATTCCTAATACTTGATATGTGAAATAAATCTTTTAACCCTTATTGTGGCAAGATTTCTTTTTTGAATAAAAGCAAAAAACTAAATTAAAAATTATCTTATAGCGATCGTATATTTTTAAAAAGTTGTATGTACGGTATACTATACAAAATGAACATAAGGGTTAATATTGTCTCTCCAAAACCCCAGTTGCCGTGACATTTAATTTTCTATAACTTATATTAGAATTCTCATCTTCCTTTGACGTTATATTCTGTCACGCGTCTGTTAGAGATTCCATACAAGAGATACTGGTTTTTGGTGACATATAACACTAGATAATTGCAGTGATAGTAATAGTATTTGATTAATTGTTCATTATGTCAACTCAGTGTTTGAAGTTGTAGGGTATGAGAAAATAAAAGAACAATATAACGTTCGTTCACGTTTATTTAGAATAATCATCAATAGTAGGTAATTATCACATATCTGTAAGAATTTGTCAATAAGCCAAGCATTTGCTTACATTAAACGCATTCATTTAAACTTGATTTACAAAGACCTTTTAAAAACACAAAAGTAACAACATATTTAAACCATGTTATAAGAGTTCACTGGATAAAATTATTTGAAAGTGTTCGAATTATAAAAATATTGGTGCATCTAAAATGACACTGCTCACAAAAGTCTTCAACTGAAAAATTATATCTTCATATAAAAATGTCATTGTAAATCAAGTACAAAGATAACATCGAGGTAAAGTCAGAACTTTTATTTCAACATGGCCGATAATGCATACATATATTGAACATTTAAATATATATTATTATATAAATTGGATCAATTTGCAAAACTGTTAAATAGAGATCAGTCGACAATAAGCTATACTCAAATCTTCTTTGATTTAAAACAAAATCATATTGTTTGCTCAATAAAAATATAAGTATCGGCTGTTATATACTTTATACTTAGTAACATAGCTTATTGTTGACTAGATATCGTTTAGGGCAGCCATACACGGACAGTTTAAAACAAACGATGTGGCTTTAAACTATCCGTGTGCGGCAACCCTTAAGCAAATAGTTACAAAGGACTTGATTACACCCAGGCATTCATTTACATTGCATTGAAAGGTTTTAGGCAACATTTTAACAACAATATTTATTTTATAATCTGTAATTAATATTTTATGTAGAAAATAAAACATTTTTAAACATCGTGCTGTTAAATACTGTAAAATTGCATTTTTATTGCGAAAATATTTCTAGAAAAGTTTGTATGGTGTATTTCAAAAAGCTGAATATGAGGTGAAGTTGCATTATTACATAAAATAAAATTTCTAATGTGTTCAGATAAATGTATCATATTTTTTAATTTTTCAACAATCATAGGTAAGTCTGTTAAAGATTACAAAATGAGTAGAAGACCAAAAATTAATTGTAAAATGAATTATTCCGGGTCACAGTATTACATATGTTTATATTTAAACGCAATGTATGTAATGACATGGCTTATTAAAAATATTGCAATATTAATTCATAAGGAATACCGTGTGCAGTAATTATCTTAATTGATATCTCAAACGTGGTCTAAGACTGAGCTTAGATTTACCACTAAATTATGATATTAATGACAAAAAAAAATCCTACTACTGTACTTATATGTACCTCAAAAGTAAAACCAATTGAATTATCCCAATTAAAATTATTCTGTAGCTAAAAGAAATAATGGAGACATTAAAAGATAATTAGAAATAATCATAAAAGTAAAATTCAATAGAACTAAGGAACTTTCTCATCAAATAAGGAACTGAAGTCTCTATAACTAATATTAGCCGCAAAGGACAGACACATTAAGATATGTATGATGGTTGTCTTTACAAAACAACTAGCAATCCACCCTGGCTTTGCTCGGGGTACGTAACCAAAAAGATATTATACAGCCAATGCATTGTTAAAAACGTTAACGTTAAAAAAGGTGGACAAATTTAAAAAAAAAACAAATAGATTCCCAAATTATAAAAAATATGTTTCATTAAAATGAACGCAATGATATTTATTTCCAGTTGTTAATTGATGGTCCCAATAATAAAGTACTAAAATTATTGGTATTAAAAAAAATCTTAAAACATTTCTTAATACTTTCGGTTTTTATAAAAATAGAAAGTGTTATTTTTGATAGGATGAAAATGTTCAATTAATCTTTATACCTTAGTGAGCAATTTTAAAAGTAAACACCAGTTCGACCTAAACTTAACAAAAAAATGGAAATAATGAAAAACTTTATAAAGACTAAAGAATAGAGGTAAAATTAATTATACTAAAATGAACATAGGCGAAAATGTAATACAAAAAAAAAACGACTGATAAAATTTCAGAATAAATTTTAAAACATTTTAATATTTGAAAATCCGTTAATTAAACAAATTAGTTGTCGACCAAAATTATGTATACTTGAGTTGTTTCTAAATGAAGCAGACAATTCATTTTATGGTATTCTTTAGTGCTATTTCGCCCATTGCTCGTTTAATACTAAAACAACTGGTAACCAAGAAAGATCCCGTTTGCATAACACAATAGAAGTAAACAATATAAACTAAATATACTAATTCCGCAAAAACAAACAAAAATTACAACACCCTGTTTTATATAACCTTCAAAAATAAATAGTTGATTTTGCATATTTCACAACTAAATACTTAATTATTGTATTTAATTTCTAGTAACCATCGAGACAGGTTTATATAGAAAAACACGTAAATGTAATAGAAAATAAAGATGAAATATAACAAATATTGTACTTGGAGGTTCTAAATGGAATGTGTGATTGCTAGAACGAAAAAAAAATGGCAATATATCGGTGAGTGATGATATTAATATGAGTTTCCATCGCCGGAATACCTGTACAAAAACTATTTTTTACGCCATGTAAACCCACGGTTAAAATAATAAAATGTCATAATATCGATAAATATCACTAAGAATCTTGTCAAGCTGTCAGATGTAAATCGATTTTTTTTATCGATTATAATTATTAGCTATTCGAATGTCAATAAGTAAAATTAACGTTATTTAAATTTGTAAATTACTTTAAAAAAAATAAAGATAATCTTCAATAACGAATTTTGAACACAAAAATATGACAATACAATATGAATTTTTAATTAAATTAATCCTGGCAAGAAAAACAAATTAAGTCATGGATAGTTGTTATCTATGAAATGTATATCCAAAGATGTGTGGTGTGTGGTGCAAATAACGAAGCTCCGACTTTCTTAGTAAACTGTGTGAAAACTTTATTAGTAATTTCAATATTGCAAATGTTAAATATGCATCTAATGTTTTACCGTTGATTTTCACTGCAGTTACTCTCATATCTTTCATTCTCTTTGGAAAATAATACATCTATAATTGCAGTGAAATCCTATACTGTCCAAAACTAATTAAGTACATGGTAGTCAAAATAAAATTCTATGATTCGCAACCAAATCTTTACATATTGATTCTTGTATATGGCGGACCTGTTTAACCCGACTGACAGGAGGGTTTTTCGTGCGTACGTATGTTTTTATGTAAGTGGATTTGTAAGTAAATTCCATTGTAACGGTCTACAGCCTAAACGACTCAACCGATTTGGACAAGTAAGGTGCTATTCAATTCGTCTTATTCCTCGGAGTATCATAGGGTATCACGTCAGCACAAAACACATATAGTGGACGTGGGAAAAAAAAATTGGGGAAAACGAGTTCGAATCTCACTCTTCATAACATGTTTTAACGTCACTAAATCAAATTTTTTAACGAGTATATTTTAATATAAGAAAGTTTTAAATACAAAGACACAGTTATCTGGTTCAAATTAAAAAAAAACTTTGTTTTAAAGATCAGACAATAGATGGCGCTAACTTATCCACTCCAGTCAGGTCGGATTTATTGATGTATTATGAGAATCGTTGGATACCAAAAAAATAGCATTGCAATTAAAATATAATAAAAATCATCCTAATTCGTGAATAAAATACCTACAACTAGATGAGCTAAATATTCATATTGAAGCGGATATGATACATCGCTAATACATGTATATAGAAGGAGAAATGCGACGGAGATATTAAAAACCTCTATATACAAATACAAAGTAAATATATAAAGTCGAAGTAAATAATGACAATAACAAGGAGCGTATCCGATATACAATAGACATACAACTGTTTATACACGTAATTGGTTAATATCGAGTTATAGTTATCGATTAAGCTATGTTTTAACATTAAGCTGCACATGTTCAGTTTTTGCTGAACAATCGGACTGTTCAGTTAAAACTGAAATTGTGTTAACTTTACTAACATTATGGACAAAATGTGTACAAATACACATCATATAAAACCTTACAAAAGGTTTGTGTGTATGTATACGTAGGATTGTACTAACGTCAACACATAATTATCTCACTACATTGGGTTTTGACAAACATTTTAATACATACATTTCAGAGAGAATTAAAAAAAACATATCTCCTTCCTTGTCGTACTGTTTGAAGAAATTGAGACAACAATAAAATGATTTTTAGTGTTATCAATGAATAATAGAAATATTTTGTTTTTAACAGATGTTGTAAAAGTACGTATACATTATGTTCAAAATTGCCTGCTAACACTAGAACCAACCCTAGAATATTTTAAAGATGCTTCTTCAAAAATCTTAACTCCAAAAAATTGGAGTTAAAGAAAGTTTGATTTAGACGCAGCAAGAGGCATAAAGAAATAAATTAACAGGCAAAAATCTAGACCTTCCTTGATTATAAGTTAGATTCAACTGCACAACACAATAATGTGTACCCACTTTAACAACATCCAAATATTTATATACTATATTGTGGATACATAGAAATAGTATTTTAAAGATATATATTTTAGATGTTAAATAGTTATGTTGTTTATGTATTAAAATGTTTGTTTTTGTCGTGAGCAGGTATGTTAACCATTGGTCCGACTGGACGTATAAGGCTCGATTGTAAAATATTGTGTGGGTGTTGAGTTTGGTAAGACCTTATTTGTTAACGAGCGATGTAAGTCGTCTCACGCCTGATTTAGCGGTGCCCTTTGTCTTTTTCGTCTGCTCTTTGACACCCCTGTAAAATATTACCAAAATTATAATTTTTTGTACAAATTATAAGAAGATTTGTGACAATTTAATACTTGTGAAGAGTAATACTTACAGATATCTGGTGAGATCTTCAATATCAACGAGCATGGAGTCTTGTCCCATGTGCAGCTCGTCTCGTGCCATCAACAATTTCACTAAGGAGTCGTTCAGAGATTCAATCTGAGAGTGCAACTCGTTTACTATCACCTGGAATACAATTATTAACAATTGAAAAAAAACTAAAGTAGATTTAAAGGAACTTTAATGTTTGTTTGTGCTTTAATATCTTACTAATATTATAAATGCGAATGTTTAGACGGTTGGATATTTGTTAGAAGGTATCTCTAGAGCAGCAGAACGGATCTCTCTAAAATTTGACATAGATGTAGAACATAGCCTGGAAGAACACGTAGGCTAGGCTACTGATTGTTTTTTTTCCGCCGAGACAGAGTCGCGGGCGACAGCTAGTTTCTTAACGTACAAAAACAGTTTCACTTATATGAAAGAACTGAATTCTACACAATTACTATTCCAAATCTGTATATATTATTAATAATTTTGTGAATTTTTTACACAATTAAATGTATAAAAACAATATTGTAAGTACAATATTATGTCGTAAATATTATTGAAGTCCAATAAATAAAGTACATTTATAAGTTGCAACATAAACAACAATGGGCATTGTGAGCGAGCCACTCAAACGTGACTCATCAAATCACGTGCTAAATAACGAGGCCAAGCAACTACTTTATTCAAAATTTTTAATTTAAATATTGCTTTATAAAAAATGAGGGGGGAGTTAGGAGGTAGTTTTTTTATTCCTATATTCCTTATTAGTTAATGAATGGAACAATCTGACAAGTAGTTTTTGAGTCATCTGTGTAGATCTATAGGAAATGTAAAAAATCTTAGTATTTCAAAATAGTATATATGTCCCTTTACCCTGGCAATGCCCATGTGTAGAAGATAGGGAAAGATCCACAGTGGTAGGTTTACATATAGTCAAAATATAGAAATATTCAATCAAAATATCAAATGACCTGTAACTGAGCAATGTTCATATCGGTGAGGAGTTGGCGAGAGACACGGCGGCGGTCTGGTGCGAGAGGTGCATTCGCCTTCTCCATACTACGGCGCAGCATCTCTGTCACCGGTGATACCGCGCGGCTGTGACGCTCTCTCTGAAACAAGAAAAAGTTATTGCAGTAGGTTTCCACTGTGAAAACAAATTTACAAAGACATGGTCAACCACTCATTGTCTTTATAAATATACTAGCGGACCCGACAGACATTGTCCTGTCTACACATCTTTAAGTTGAATAAATTAATATGAAGTTAATATTTCATGAAAATTGTGAATCTAAACCATTCCCAGATCCCCTTGAACACACACAAAAAATTTCATCAAAATCGGTCCAGTTGTTTGAGAGAAGTTCAGTGACATACACACTCACAGAACAATTATATATATAAAGATAACTATTTGTTTTTGTACAAATTTTTGGGGAACACAAATAGTTGCAATTTTTGTACAATCAGCTGCATATGTAAGCATTTATAAAACTTCAGAAACTTGAATATGCCTATGGTTTTAATCTTCAAAAGTCTTCACCAATAGAAAACATTCATAGATGGAAGTATAAGGATGGATACATGCATACATATTTTGAAACTATAAGTGTATACAAGTTTCCGAAGCTTTGTAAATGTATTTATATTTATGCAGCTGACTGTACAGTTTAGATTATCTGATCTTGCAGCATGAGTTATACCAAGATCAAGTTCTTATGTAATATCAAGCTATCATCAATCTGATTGAATACATAGGTTTGACATTTTGTATGTAATTACAAAAAGTATAATAACATAAAAAAAAATAATTTACAGATGTCTAAATATGTATACCTCCATTTGTATATGAGCCATTTCTTTAGCTTGGGCCAATGCAATCCTGGCCTCGGTCTGTAGCCTCGCTTGCAGAGCATAGAAATCAGTCTCCTTGATGTCAATGTGATTTAATGACTGTGTTGAACGAGATTTTGACGTCTTTAACGTAAATGGCGATTGACGCAGTTTAGGTCCTGAAATCATTAATACAACTGTTTTAAGTTAAATACATAAAAAATAAGATCCTTCACCCAAACACAAAATAAAGCTTCATGTAAATAACATAAAATGTTTGACATAAACACGAGTAAGGCATAATATGAAAATGTTTTAATACACTCCACCATTTATTCCTATAATTGTAAAGTGAATACGCAATATCTTTATAGCAGTTAGAGATGTACATTTTAATCCATTCTGATTTTTTTTTAAGTAAAAGACTGGCCAAAATCAATAAACATATTTTCATATCCATATTAGCAATACCTAGTGTGCATGAACTACAATCTTTCTGTCTTCCTTTTTTAATATGGTACATTTAAATGTTATGAATAATTAGGGATATCCACTTACCAAATAGCGGGGCGCTGTCATTTTTGGTAATATTAACTGAAAGTGGTCTTGTTTGATATGGATGGTTTTGAGTGATCCCAAAAATACTTGTAGGGGGTAAAGTTTTACTAGCACTTTTTATATTTTTCTCTATATCAGATGCTTGGGATTCATTATCTGATGCAGTTTCATTCATAAAACATATTTGTAGATTCTTTCCTGATGACACCACAACACAGAGTTACATGAAATGAACCCAATGAGATGAAAATGTAAATTAGCACCATGTTTGTTTCATCTCATAATTGTTTGTTTAATATAATTGATATTACAAGACTTTATAAGCATCATTGAATTTAAACTTTCTAAATTTTGAGCATAATTTATAACAGTTAAGATTAGACCTCTGTGACTGAAAGCATACTTTAGAAAAAAATAAGTTTCATTTTTATGAAAATGTAAGTTTTTTCTGTATTTAAAAAGTAAACAAACAACTATGTTGCTACTATAACAAGCTGTAACACACATCTAACTTTACGGTCAATGTTAACAAAACACAAAAAAAAATACAAAAATTAATACCATTCTGGAGACGTGAATGTAAACTGGGTTTCTTGCCAGGTCTGTCTGTGTGTCCTAAACTATAATATTCTTCACTGTCAGCATCCATTGCCAGTCGTTTTCTAATCTCTTCCCTGTCATTGCGTTTCTGAAAATTTTAACATTTGTTTATTTATCTTATAGTATAGACTAAATTCTTCTGTGGTATATTCCTTACTTTAATATGAAGGGAATGTTCGTCTGTTATGTTGATTATTTTTGTAAATTTATCCAAAATATTAGGATTACTATCTGTTATAATTGGCCAAGCAATTTCAGTTCTTGCATATTCAGCTGATCCTAAGGCTCTAGGACTTAGCATTGGATCATCGTAGTAAGTATTTGCAGGTACATTAAGTTTTTCAGATTTATTTAATTTCTTTTTAAATAAATAAATACGGTGTTTATATCCTGTTTTTTCATTGTCCACGTTTGCGTGAATATTATCAGACGGCTTACTAAATCTTCTTTTTATATTAGATATAAACTCTTCAAACATCTTAATATTAGTCAGTCTTGTATTTTTGGCAAAATTGAGCAATTAATTATGGCACTAATTGTATTTGTTTTTGATTTCGAAGTATATTTGGTAAAACATTAGAAAGAAAAATAAAGAAAATGCCACAATCCTGTTCCTGTCATTATTTGACATTTAGGGCAAGGACAAATCGTGACAATGATTTTGTTCTATTTCACTTTATGCATTATGGTTTAACTACATAAAAGTTGAAAGTGTAGGTATGTTCAGCTATGATATTTAACATTATAAAGAAACTTACGAGGCAACAAATATTATCGACGGACTCATGATTATCATAAGTAATAGTGTACAAATCCAATAGAAATCGAGTATCTTTTTTGTAATGTCTTTGTTCGGAATTAAAATAAGGCATTGACGCCATCACTTCAGAAAATAATTACAAAACACAAATGTTCGTCAAGAGCACGATAAATATACGTCACACCGGTGAGTACACTGCCACAAGAAATGAGATACAGCATAAATGCAACCGCACTGCCTACGCCGACGTTGAATCACTAGAAAGCTGGACTTGCTACTTAATAGCAATTAACTGTTACGCGCGGCACAACAAATCGCGAGTGTGAATGTGTGCAGTTACTGTTACCTTTACGGGCGCCGAAATTTAAAGTACAAAATATATCTGATCTTGAGGTTTACTGTTTATTCGTATAAGCTCAATTAAATTAAAAATACTGCACGTGATTCAAGTTTATTACTTTTTGAAAGACACTTACCCGCCTTTCTGCTTCTTTTGCGGCTTTTAAATGACTTTCGATGGCATCCAAGTCTATTTTTGGTAAGGCAGTTTCAATGTTGTAAACATCAAAACTATCTATAATTAAACAGAATAATCATTGTTTAATATTTACAAATTAATTTTAACATTAAGTATTTACTTATTGCGATTTGTTTTCTATAAATAAGTTTAACTTAAGTAAATCCTTCGTATTTTCACCGTATTTACGCAGGAAATAAGGAAATTTTTAACTGTTTTGTACAATTAAATTAAACTGGAAACCTTTTAAAAAACTTTGAAATATTACTTTCTAATTTTAATTTATTTTCTAAATCAGAACTTAATATAACCGACAAAGAGACCTGTTTAAAAATGTTGTTTATCACGTTTCTGAAATGATTTCTTGCGTTTCTTGGCATAAAACTTTGGGTATCAAAAACCATATTGATTTGGATTTAACTTACCTAAATCATATTCCTTTGCCTTGTCGAGTGTACGGACGGATGCAGTACTTTTAGTATTAGGTGACTTTATTGCACTGGTCTGAGATGAATATCGGTCGCTACATGCCTTTTTCGCACTGTAAAGCATTATTAAAATCTACTTTATTAATCAATACTTAAAAACACAATTTTAAATTGAACGCCGTGTATTAGGGCATGCGTTTAAATTTGAACTGAAGTCATGGACTTACGCTTCGTCACAATCTATTTAAAACTGTGTGTTCGATACACAGATTTAAAAGTTTGATGTGCTTACATTACGTGGTAAACAATTGCTTGGAAAATTAGACAATTTGAAGTATACTTACTTTGGCAATATAGTTGAGTTTTTCCTAAATTTACTTGAAGTGCTATATTCACATTTCTTCTCTTTTACTTTCTCTGTATAATTTTCACTTTTGGACTTTACAGTCAAACTCGAACAAGATGAATTGGTAATTTCATTAGAATTTTTATCCATCATAACAGAAGCAGTTTCTTTTATGTTCTCAGACCACAGTCGGTCACGCTCCCGCATTTCGTTTAGTTTCGGTATAATTTTTCTCAATTCCGTACTTAATTGTTTTATTGTATTCTCTACATTGTGACTTAACGCTTCTGTATCGTATTCATGTTCATAAATATTAATTTCGTCTTTACCGTCTGATAGTATGGCATCTTGTATTTTGTTATTTGAATCATTTTCTATTAACAAAAATGTAGGCCTGCTTAAATTCATTTCGGTTCTTGTGTTTTTTTCGTTATCTTTATTAACATTGTTTAATTCCTCTGCATCTTCCTTGTTATAGGACGTAGGTGGTGGATCAGTTTCAGTATTCTCCCCACCGTCATGTGTTTCGACCAATTTCTTTATGACATGATTCATAACATCACTAATATTATTTATTGTATTTTCTATAGGTTTCGCAAAGGTATCTTTTATGTCTTTTCTTAACTCTTCAAGATCGTCCTGTATATTAATATTATAATTCAAAAGTTGCTTTATTTCATCCTCTATTTCCTTGTTAAAATCCCCAATGATATCTTTAGTATGAAAATTATTTTCAATGTCTGTATCTGAGCAATCAAAGTTAATAGATTCACATGTGTTATTGTTAGATACAGTTTTCAATAAATCTGGTATATCATTTTGTGTATCATCTGAATTTCTAGTTTTGTATTGCAAATCACTCAATTGATTAATTTCCTTTGATTTATAATTAGTCAAATTGTTATTATTTAAGTTGATTTCGCTTTCACTTGTTTTTAACTGACCAGTTGCGTCTATATTTTCCGTGTCCAGATCGTCATCTGTCATTTCATTTTCCGATTGATAAAAGTTTTCAATGTTTGTTGAATAATCCTGAAAAGATGTAAGATTTTTTTTTATTAACGCGTATGTTTTAGACTTGGCGATCAATAATTTATCTAGCCTAATTTCCCATAACTGCGTTTAAAGATCTATAAATGACTTAAATTGTAAACGGAGATTGAGCTATAGAGGTAGATTAAATTAAAGTTTTTGGAAACCGATTTAGCAGAATTGCCTTATTTTAAAATATTTTATTCTACCTTCTAAATAAATATACTTGATTTGTTTATGATATAGTCGAAGCAGTAATCGTTCGTCTCACGTATTCCGTAAGACTTGTAAGGTTTCTCTTACATGATTACACGTTAACTGAAGGGTTTCTTAGAGGAAGTGATATATTACCTGCAAAGTATGCGCTAAGTGCTGGAAGCCGGGATAGTTCGGATTCACGATGCCCCTCGGTACTGGATGTGCAACGTTTTCAGACATTTCATCTGTATCGGAATTTTCAAATGTTTTTTCTTCGTCGATTGGTGTTGAATCTGTGTAATATAGAATGATTATGCGCTTTATAACTTTGTCTAGACTTACTTAGTTCTTAAAATTTAACAACATATAAACAAATCTGACTAGACTAGACATACCAAAAGATCTAATTTTATCCACTTAACATGAAGCCAATCCTAACATTCTAATTAATAGTAATTAGTAACGAATATTGTAATTCGTGTCCGCTTTAGTGCAGGTATTCGTTTTACGATTCAAGTTGTCCTATATTGGTACGTATTTGATTAACAAGTACTTTAAATTCCGCTTCAAGCGCTGCGCCTATAATTTCCATGCAGATATTTTTTTTAAAAGCACTTCACATGGGCATTCGAAAATTAAATATCTAAATGCCAGTCAATGCTTTTAATTTCAGATAAGCAACTTTCTTTTCTTATTAATACCTTACATTTGTTTAAAAATTTAATCGCAACTGTAAAAAGGCTACGTTAAAAGTAAAAAAGATGTTTTTACTTTTGTAAATACCTACGAAGAATGATGTAAGTTTTGATCTAAAAATAATATAGTCAAGTCACAACTGAAGTTAAATCCTTAACTCACAAATATTTGATGACCTAAGCTACCGTTTTAAATGCTACTATCGAATCGTACTAATATTATCAATGCGAATTTTTCTAAGGATAAATGGACGGCTGTTTGTGTGAAGGTATCTCTAAAGCGGCTGAATGGATCTCGATGAATTTGGCATTCATATAGAACATAGTCTGGAAGAACACATAGGCTACTATTTTTTTTTTAATTCCGTGCGGACGGAGTCGCGGGCAACCGCTAGAAATAAATAATTTGCAAAATACAAGCAATTTTATTTTCGACTCTGCAACGTTGGTGTCAATGACCTCATTTGAATACAAGCCTGCTTATACTCTTAGTTGAAATTGTTACATAAATTTGCGTTGAATTACTTCAACGCGAAAGTATTGCTGAGTGAAGTTAAATCTTAACATTTTTAATCGAAAAACTTTTACTTGCATATATTTATATACTTTTATACTTAGGTTAAAGACCCCAAAAAGGCGGATGGACTTACCTAATATCAGTATTTTAAATACAAACGACATTTTGTTTTGAACTTAAAGTTCAGTAATATAATTTTTGATATAATTCTTCTAAAAATGTTTCCGTCTTTAAATATAAGAATTAAAACGGTGAAAAAAATGTATTGCGCAATATCTTAATAGGCTCTTATCCAGTACAAAAAGCTTCTAATTTTCTTTTCTTGTAACGCATTAAATAAAAAGATGAAAATCTTCCATTAATTAATTTAAATAAGTAAGAAACATCATAACTTTTATGAGTATTAATAATTATGTCTAAATATAATATACGCCATAGAAATTATATAGGGTCCATATAAAGCGAAGAAATATTAACTTAAGTGGATTCAATTTTAATTAATAACCACCGCAGTACTTACCTAGAGAGCTATCGTTGTAAATCACATTATTATCTTGTTCCAGGTTTTCCGTGACTTTTTTCTGACATGAGTTGGTGAGTATATTTTGTTTATTGATTCTGTACTGTCTATTACATACTCCGGTTTCGATGATGACGTCACACGTAAGATCTTCGCTTTGTAGATTTGTATCTTTGATCTCTGTGCTGTCTAGTTTGAAAACGTTGTTGCAATTTTTATTATGATCGTCGTGAGTAGTACGGGTTGTATTTTGGAGGCGGGTATTGTTCGATAGGAGCCAGCTCCTATTGTCCGCGTTCCTATGCGATGCGACCCCGTTTCTGTTTGCAGCGGTTACGTTGCCATTGTCAGGGCTCTGAACAATCCTCATGATTATCTGTAAAAAATGTTTTTCTCATTAAATGTTGTCATAGCTAATAATTTTTGTAAGGATGGAGATTGATTACTGTCGCTCTCTGAGATGCGTTAAATATATTGCATTCAAATGGGCGCTGGCAGTGAGAGGTTCACCGAGGTTGATGGTCATAGAATACAAGCAACATAATCTCATTTCTTATCATTAACCACCATATTAAGTATCTGCTCATATTAACGAAAATTAAAATACTTTTTAAACGTAGTAAACTTAATGTAATAAAAATATAAAGTGAAACATACGTACTACGAAGCGTATAAATTTTAAAAAGTCATAAACAGGTTTCGTTTCGTGTTTATTGATCTAGACGCGTGACGAATAACACCGGATTATATCGAGTTCAGTGTTACAAAAACAAACAATATGAAAAACACTGATTTCAATATAATTTATCAATTTTATCTTAAACTCTTGGGTACGGCTTTATTTGAGAAAATATTATATTTGCATGTGGAACAAAAGTAATTTTTGGTTGCTTGGAGAATTGTGTAAAGGTGTATTGGAGAATTATTTTATGTAAAAATGTATTTATTTCAAAAATATTACAAGTTTAATTTTTGGTTTGACGTCTTAGCCACGTCTTAGGGCAAAAAAGTGAATGACGTGTCCCAGATGTCAAATTTACTCAAGGGGTTAACAATTATAATAAATGAAATGTAAAAGAAATTAGCTATTAAAGCGTAACCGTACTATTCCACTTTTCAATACCATGAAACGAAACATTCTATAGACTATTCGATACCGTCGGCAGTTTTATGAAAGGCAGCTTTTTTTTATATTATAGCTACGTTCTATTACACCAGAACTACACGGTAGGTAAATTTTATGTTACATAATACAAAATACGAACAGACGCTTTTACGTAAACAAAACAAAACCGCTGTATTTATATATATACAATTTTGAAGGAAACTGTTTGTATAGGTTTAAAAAAGGAATAAATTTATAAAGAAGAAGGGACGGAAAACATTATATAGATAATTCTTTATTAAATAATAGTTACAAACAATTTTTTTTAATAATTTCATATTAATCAAAAGTAAAAGAATCAGCTGTACAATAGCACTACAGTATTGCGATCACGCAACATTGTAATAAATTCAGACTCTATTCTTGGAACTAAAAGCGTATAAGTTGATTTATTCCACTTAGATCATCTTGGTGGTCAAAGTGGAATAAACGTATATTAAATGTGGTTTATTCCACTGTGGTCATCTGGATAATACTCTAAATGATCAAAGTGGTATAAGTCTATAAGTAAATTCTAGAAATAGTATATTTCAAATACTCTGCTATTTCATAATTGGAATAATACGCAATAGATAGGAAGCATTCAACATTCGTTGAACAGAGGAAGCTGCACCCGTCGGCCTTAATCCGATAATCCATATAGCCCCTTTATAAACCTTTCAGGTGGAAAATAACCCCTCAAATATCGTGTTTATAATGACGTAAACAAAAAATAAATTAGATTTTCACGCCGTCAACTACTAAGTTAAACGTATTTCCAAATTCATGCATTTGCTTTCTTAATTTCTAAACAAACGATTTTGCAACAGGAGCTTCTTTAAAAAAAGAATATTTCAGATGCTACTTAAAAAAAATCATAAAATAAAAAGTTTAATATTTTAAAATAAAAGTTCAAAAGGTAAGTCCTCATTTTATGTATCAAGTTTTAAAACAATGCATAAATTTAAATTTATAAAAAGGTTGAAGTGAGACCGAGTGAGACATAAAAGTTGTTACATAAGGTGTAAAAATTTGAGCAACTTTAATATAGGTAACACGATAGTTCAGGTCGGGCTTGTGTAGGTGTCGCTGCCGCGTATTAGACCAAGTTCTCAAGTGACACGTGACACAGTTAAGGTACGGTCTAACTTTTGATAGGGATGTATAAACTTAGATGACAACGAAATTTATGGTTTGTCTCAGAATTCATAGAGTTTTGTAACTACCATTTAAATAATCTAGTCTAGACGCTATGTTAAGGTTTCTACTCAAAAACGGTTTCGTTTATTCCAAACATATGAATACTTATTTGTAAGAAAACATTTAATCATGCATGCATGGGAAGGGAAAATATTTTCTTTCTGTGCATCCTCTCCTCCGTCGATTAAAGGTAGGCAACGCATATGCAGTTGCGTATGTCTATGGGCAACGGTCACTTCGCTATTTCAGCGATTTCAGGTGGCCGCTCACTTGTTTGCCACCTTACGATATTATATAAAAAAATAATCAATATATCGTACGGTATGAGAGAATAGACTTTAAAGGTCAATTCCATGTCATAAGTAAAGTTTGCTATAAAAGTGCATATTTGTAAAAAAGAATAGCACCATTTAACGCAATTTAACAGAGTATTTATAGGAATAAACGGTGGGTGAAAGCTTGTTGCAGCAAGAATAGGTCAACTCGATCAGGGAGGGGTCGCGCCTTTGGAGAATTACGCCATTAAATATATAATACGTTGTTCTTTTTCTATGGCTAGAGAAGATAACTATTTTATGGTATTTTAAATTTACTTTACAAATCTTTATGCATTTTGCATTATTATTATTTACTATTGTGTGCCGAAAAATAGGTCACTTTTATAGAGTCCTACTTTTCGGGGGTTTTGATAGACTATAAAATTAACAACCCCGTTTCTTATCTTAATAATTTTTCAATTCTTAATCAATAAAATATATGTACTTTTCTTATTATATACAGGAAGACAAAATTATTCAGCATAGAAGATTGTACCCCTATTTAACTCCTTAGTTAATTAATATGACGTATGACATTAATCTGCGGATATTCGTTTTACTTTGCTCATTTTATAATCATCATGTCGCGACTGTATTGAACGTAAATAAGAGGAAAGAAAATACCAAATACTTGTGACTTTCAGTTGGCTCGTTGCCAGCGGGTTGACTGGTCTATGGGCGCCGATGTCAGGATCTCTGCTTATATTGACCCGATGCGTAGCAAACATAAACCGTGCCTCAATATCTCTAATTAAAACTGTATGGTATTTTATCATTTTTATTAACTCTACCATGACTCTCAAGAAGTATAGTAATTTCGCGAGACAAAAAGAATCGTTAAATGATTTAAATAAGAAAGGGCGAATTCAATAATTATTTTCGCAGACTCGTTTTTAATTATCACCAACTACGTTAAGTAGCTCTTAAAATTGGAAACTCTCAAGAGTTTTGCCGAGCGAACTATTTACAGAAGTGTGAGATTTAATTAAATTTAATTGTAACATTAAGTACGAACACAACTTCCTAATGGATGTTATGGAAAAACAAACGGCCCTCACGACTTTGAATGTAATTAAGGTAGGCAGAAAAAGATAATAGTTACGATATTTACTGTTGCTCATTTATTATTGCTTATTTGCCCTATCTTTATTAAGTGATTTTATTTGGTTGCAAAATAGTAATAATAATAGAGTAGACAGTGTTTTGTTTTTAAATTTTCTTAGGGAACGAAATCGTAAAATAAGTTATTTAGGTGGTAATATAAGATTTAATTTTATTGCTCCTGCCCGGCCGTATCTCTTGTAAAAGTAAATCTTCATTTCTTCAATAAAAGTACAACATTGGATTATAATTTTAACGAGCTAGCCTTTGCGCTGCGCTCGGCATCCTGCCAACAAATTTATTTTCCGATTTCTAACAGAAAATATGTAGTCAAGGAATAACAGAAAAAAACTTAAAAAAAACAATTTCAAAATCTTTCCATCTTCTCGGTGGAGGTTGTGCAATTTTAAACAGTAAACTTCATAACTAAAGATTTTAAGTGTTTTCTAGACTTTTGTTCCTAATTTTCATTGGATAGATGGAAAGTATAGGAATTTAAGCAAGGGAGGTCAATGTCCAAGCTTTGCCCTTAATATAATGCACGTAACTTGAGCTCGATTTCAGAAAGGGATTAATAAAATCGATAATACCAATTACGATAGGGTAATTGGATTAGAAAGTACTATCGATTTGACTGTAGTGAACAGTTCTCGAGATATATAATTTTAAACTTGACACAAAATAATAGATTAATTAATATTAAAACACTTTGTGCTATGTCATTTTCCTTCTCTATTCAATAACAAAAACTTGTTTCCTTCATACTTAAAATGTTAATTAAATTAATAATGAGCACGAAACCTGAATAAAATAAGTCCGTATTTATACATCTAAATGAAAATATAACCACAGTAAACAAGCTGAAGTCTCTACTTCCACGTTACTAATTAGAACACCCTGTTGAAATAGGATCATGAATGAATGAATCATGAATGTGACCATTCAAAGCATTTTCAACAAAGCCTCGACTAAAGCTATTACGTCATCTTAGTTATTGTCATGAAATAAGACCTATATTTTAGTTTATTAGACACTTATACTGGCAGCATTGATCGACTTGTAAAGTACTGAAAGAACATCAACATAACTTGGTTTTAAACGACTATAGCATTATAATAAGTGTAGAAAGTATAATAGGTTGTGATGAATATCATTCTAGATAAATAATACCATTTCAGTTGGTAATCCCGAAATTTTAGCCATAATTCCACCACAGATTAAGTTTATTATTGACTCCAATGTCACATATTATGCTGTTATATACCCGGACATGTTTTAAATGTTTTCTCCCCAAAACAAATTGAAATTACAAAAGGA